ACTTAAAATCAATTGTTATACTTTCGAGTTTGTTTCACTAAATCTTCCCCTACTAAACAAATATAGATTTGTAATTACTTTATATAGTCTCCTTGACGAGGACATTAATGTTCCCTGGATTGGGGGTAAGTAGAGATTTTCTGGCTGCTTCATTAATTCCTCTACTTTAAGATTGATAGCAGCATCTCAACTTCCATTTTCTCCATGCTTCTTGCCTCCAAAATTCTGCAAGAATATTTGAAAATTTGCTGCTAAATGTGACAATAATTTTTGGGGTTTTGATCAATTTTCTCGAAACCTGCTATAACTTTTTTTTTAGGTTAAAAAGTATGTAATTAAATTTCAAAAAACTCTGATTGATGCATAATTTTTTATTTAAATGATAAAATTCGCATCCTCTTTCTCTAAATCAACAAGAAAAAAAATTAAAAAAATTTTAATTATCAATCTAATTAAAAAGGTATTAGCATATATTCTCTTTTCATTTTAAATGTTTGTTTGTTTTTTATTTTTATAATAAAAAAATGGAGAGAACGTGTCTTTCGGATAAATCAAGCTAGCTAATTAATTAATTAACATGTAAGCAATATTCAAATTAAAAAAAGGGAATAAAAATTAGCTTGCAAGCATGAAAAAGGAGAAGGAGCTGTAATTTTTAAGGCATCATTTCCACACCTAAAACTCCTTTTTGAAGCGTGACGGAAAGACATGAGAAAAACACGGACATGGGCAAGTCCTTGATCGGAACTTTGAAGGATGCAAAACTCATGTTCCAATGGTGATGGTTGCGGTCATCCACGGTTTAGATGTTGCATCATTTCTTCCATCAATGGCGTCACCATCTTATTAAATTAATGACGTGCAAGATTTCGTTGCTGCCTTCTTTTGATTTTTGCACTTTTTTTTTCTGAAAAATAATTGAAATAAAACTAATCTCAAACAAGTTTGAAAAACCGTAACTTTGGTGCGTCGTTCTTCACCAAGTTCTAATTCAAGACGAAAGAATAGAATCGGATTGATCTAGAAAATTGAAAATATTAACGGATTTTTTTGTATTTACATTCTAAGTTATTATTTTTCTTCTAATTGATTTTTTGACAAATTAAGAGAACGGAAAATGGAAATTAAACTGATGAAATAGGTGTCAACTAGTTATTTCAACATAATTATGGGATAAGATTAGGAATAATGAAAGCTTTTTTTAAAACTTTTTTGCAAGTGAAAAATTAGAAAAGTTTCATGTTTTTACTAGGTTGAGAGAATGGAATAGTCTTTTATTTTTTTAATACTCTATTTGGTTTGAAAGAATGACTATTTCTTGGAATGACCATTCAAGGAGATGAGGAAATAGTCAATATTAAAGTCTCTTGATATTGGATATTCCAAAAAGAAAAGAATAGAGTAAAAATATGAATAGATAAAAATATCTTTTATTAAATTAAAGAATTATCATATTACACAAAATACATTATATTTATCTTGTACAATTTCTTCCTTTCTATCCAACTACCTTTCTTATTCTCCAGGGATGAGCAAATGGGTGAATCAGATGGTTTGGTCCATCATATTTAAGGATCAAATAGACTAATTATTTTTAAAAAATTGATTAAAATCGATCAAATATAAAAGAAGACCAAATTGACCAAACATACAATTCGTTTAGTTAGTTTGGTTTTGAACCAATTGATCAAAATTTTATCACTATTTTTTTATAAATTATAATGTTAAAACTTATAATCGTCATCCATAATTATATATATATAAATGTGAAATTAATGACATAATTTAGATATTATAATGTTTTATATCAAAGTTTGTATAAATAATAACTAATTATAAACCATATGTTATAAAATCTAAGGTGATAACTAATAAAGCTATTAAGTGTAAATATAAAAATAAAATTTATTATAAATTATAGTAACGTTTATGTATAAATTAAATATAAATATATAATATATTTATACAATTATATATATATTCATAACATTTTATGTTACAAAATATTACTAAAATGTAATAATTATAACATATTAATATAAACGATATTTACTATCATATATTATAATATTAACATATAAGTTATATCATTTAAAATATATAACTTGTAATTTTATATTAATACAGATTTGTAAATAAATAAATATAATTAATATTAAATTGTTATAATTATGATTGATATATGTACATATAATATCCTAGTATATTTTAAGTATATTATTAATTAAATTTACTATCAATTCTTCTTAATATATATAAAAATATCATATATATATATATAAATTTATAAAAAATTAATTTGGTTTTTTAGGTGGATTGGTTCAAAAAGTTTAAAACCGATAACTGATCAAAAAACCAATTGGATCAAACATTTTGGACCAATGAATTAATTAGACAAAACCATTTAACTCAAATCGCATTGGGTTTAAGTGAGTAATTGGTATGGATTGGTTTTGCTCACTCTTATTATTCTCTCACCAAATTAAAATGAATTTAAAATTTAAAAAATAAAAAGATTAAAATAAATTTAAAATAAAAAGGTTTATGTTTTTATTATTCATTTTGTTAATATTTTAAAATTAAAAAATATATTAAAATTTTAATTATATTTTTAATATTTTTTAAAAAATAAAAATAATAAAATAAATATTTTCATTATAAATATTTTAATTTAGAAATTAAATATTATAAAAATTGATATTGTTTGTCATTTATGACTTATTCTTTAGTTATTCCTAAAATTATTCTCACCAACCAAATATTAGAAGAATTCATAATAACAATTCTTATCCTATATCATTTTTCTGAAACAATCTCTTAATGCTTGTTTGGTTTAACCTTTTTTTAGTTCATCTAGCCAGGTCAAACAGGATATTGATAAGCAATTAAAAACGTAGTCTTTTTTTTAAAAACAAAATTAAAAGTAAAAAGGAGCTTCAAGAAAAGCTCTAAAAAAGAACTTTCTCTTCTCTTTTTTAAAAAACAAAGAAGAATTTTTATTTTTATTTCAAAATGTCCTCCCATCTATTAAAATTAATTCTAATATTGTACTCTAAAAAAAAACTTTTATGATAATTTTAATCAAAATTAGAATTTATTAAAAAGAACTTATAAAAATAAATTTATCAAATAATTTTAACTTAATTTTAAAAATTATTATTTTTAATAAAAATTTTATAATAACTTTTAACTTAAAAAAATAAAATCAAACATATTCTTTTTCTATTCTTGCAAAATGATTATTTCATGGTCACTGTATTCCTTTTTATGAACCATACACACTTCTTAGGAGTATCATTCATTATTTATCGACAGAAAAGGTCTTTTGTGTTTGAAACATGCAAAGATGATCCTTTTTTCTTTCCTTTCTACTCTGACCAATACAGAAGAAGATTTTTCCCACTTCATTATTTTATTGTTAAATGGCAAATTATCATCATTATTAAGGATGACCAAGTAGCCATCTGTTCATTACAAACCTTATCTAAGGAAACAAATAATGTGAAAATCATTTGTTTTTCCGTTTTAAACATGTCTAGTACTTTTTAATATGAAATACTAAAAAAAGTATAAAAAATAAAATATTAAATATCTAAAAAGAATTCATCTTAAGACATCTCGTTAAAAAAAAAAAAATCAACAACCAAAATTTGAGATTTTAAACTATTTGGAGCAAGTGGGTCAGCAGCTTTGCTTATTTCCCGGAAATTATCCATACTGCTGTCAAATGGAATCATCAACACATCCCAAACTTTTTTATTTATGGCAACTTTTAATTTTTTTTCCTTTTTTTTTGGGTATAATTACTGTCAAGAATAGGCAAAGAACTACAAAAGATTTTAAAAAAAAGAGCTTGACCCAAAATTTGAAGGATAGTTCAAAGCTTTAAATACCTACATATACATGCAAAAGGAAAAAGAAGAAAAAATTGTGCACCGGCAACGTCATAGTCATTCAACCGAAAACAAACAAGGCCACCTTTCCTGGAAAATTCAGTGCCAAAAACGAGTTGGTTAGTTGGGAAATAATATTAGACAAAGAAAAAGAAGCCCTTTCTGGCTTTTGTCAACGACAGAGAGATCCAAAAGCAAAAAGAAGGAAAAATTTACTAAAATTTAGGCACAGATTTTGAACCGACCTGTGTCTGAGGAACAAGGTTGTTGTGGTTCAAATGGTTCCAATCAGTTACCTATATTTCTCACCGTCTAAAAGTCTAAATTGAGCAGCCTCATTAATAAGCTCACAATAATACCTAAATAAAATATATTTCATCTGTTTTATAATTTTTGAAAATGTCTTAATATGATTTTTTTATATTTTATATTAAAAATATATTACAATAAAACATTTATTTTAATTTATATAAAAATTAAAAAATAATTATTTAAATCAAAGTTTAATTTATTCATGTTCAATCCTTTATCACTTCAATTTGTCAAAAAAAAAAAAAGAAAACTCAACAAGTCCTATCAATTGCCTTATGATTCAAAGTCTAAAACGAGCAACCGTATTAATAAGTTTCTTGAAATATCAAGAGAAAAAATACAATACCTTTCGATCATTATATTTTGTTTTTTAAGATATCTTAACGTGAAAAATTTTTATTTCAAAAACTTCATATTTTTATTATATTAAATATAAAAGTTATGTATTTTAAAAATAAAACAAAAATAAATTAACATAGTGAATCGAATTCCTAAAAAAAAAATCAACTAAGGTCTAAGTTTGTACAACTTGCACAACTGTGACAAATCACTTGGATTAAAAATAAATAAATAAATAATTGAAGAAAATTCTCTCTCCCTCTTTAATGGAGAACGAGTGACTCATCATCCATCCTACGTCGATGAGTCCATGCTAGATTTTCAAAAGCTAAAAAGAGAAGCTTCTTTCCTGTAACTCACTCGTGGTCTTTTGACAATGAAAACTATTTCTAATTAATTTAATTTAATAATATTATTAAATTTTATTAAATTAAAAGGGAAGAAAGAGAAAAGAAAAAGGAAAGAGAGATTTCCTTCCATCCACAAGACAGAAATTTTCATGTTTCAAAGAAAACAGGTAGAGAGAGAAAGAGGGTTGCATCAAAGAAATTGAAGCTTTAAATACGAGTTGGTTGATTTGCTCTCGATTCCATCTCTTAAGCACGAAGCATACCCTTTCTCTTCTCTTTGTTGTTCTTTATATATATAAGCTTCTTCTTAAACCCCGTTCTTTGTAGATCATCAAAACCTTTTCATTACCGGTTCTCATTTGAGACCGTACCAGAACCCGAAGAGGAAACAAGGAAAAAAGATGGATTATTATCACTACCCATCTCGTTTTTCTTTGTCTTCATTGTCTTTGTTTGGAGATTTCGTGGAAAAGGTTAAAGATTTTTTCAATTTTGCCGTTTCTGCCATCATTGGGAACATTTTCTCTGCGATCTTAACCTTCTTCTTTGCATTAGGTTGGTTTCTTTATCTCTTCTTCTTTATGATACTTCCTTATTGCTTCTAGTTTTCTCTTTTCTTTTTGGATTTCTCGTGGTTGATCGAATTTATAACCTTTTTTTCTTGAATTGAAAGCCATTTGATTCTTGATCTATTCATGGTCCTTGATGTTGGTTTTTTTTGTAATAAATCGAATTTGGCTTCTTTTGTTCTTCTTTCCTGCTATTAACTCATATGATATGTTCTATTCTTTGTAAAATTTTGTTTTTTTGATGTAAGTATCATATTTATTTTATAGTAATAATTATCATTTCTCCAGTATTATTATATGGATATAAGATAAATCTAATTATGTTGCTGTTCCAATTTTTTTGGATTGTAATAATATGAAATGTTCTGCGTGCAGACAAAGCAGTTTGGACATTAATTTGTCTTATATTTATTTCCAAATACATCTAGAATTAATGACATGTTGTTTGGTTTCTTAGAATTTTAACATGTAGAACGCTTTAATGCCTGAAGTTAACTCTTCATACTCAAATTTTTACTCAAGAGATTGACATTTTTGTCTGCAGTGGGCACCTTCTTAGGGGCCATGACTGGGGCTTTGATAGGACAAGAGACGGAGAGTGGGTTTGTTCGAGGGGCTGCAGTTGGGGCCATATCTGGGGCAGTTTTCTCAATCGAAGTCTTTGAATCTTCTCTTGTTCTTTGGCAATCGGACGAATCCGGGATCGGATGTTTGCTTTACTTGGTGAGCACTTTTGTTTATTACCCTGGTTTTTCAGGTTTGGTTGCTAGTTTCTAAGTTAATAGAAAGAGGGATTAAAGAAAAACACTTATTGTTCTAAATATATAAGTTCGTGATACAATTATTGACAATTTTCAACCTTCACTTTTGAGTTATAGTAATCCTTGTAGGCAATCTAACTCATTTTCCTGCAAATTCTGCAGATTGACGTCATTGCAAGCCTCCTTAGTGGGAGGCTTGTTCGTGAACGAATTGGTCCAGCAATGCTGAGTGCAGTCCAAAGTCAGGTGATATGCTCTGCAAAATGATAGTAGTCTCTATGCTAGAAAGTGGTGGTTCCATCAAATGGCAATTTGCTTATGATTTTGGTTTCTGTTATCAGATGGGAGCTGCTGAAACAACTTTTGAGGAGGTCCAGAACATCTTTGACACCGGTGGTGCTAAAGGATTGGCTGGTGATTTGGTTGAAAAAATCCCAAAGATCATAATCACAAACAATAACAATGTAGATGCTTCTGGGGAAAAAGTTTCCTGTTCAGTTTGCCTTCAGGTCCGACCATGCTGTGTTTTGCATTTTCCCCCATTCTTTGTAAAATCTAGTTGCATAAGAAGCTTATTTAACTGACATTTGGAGTTATCTTTATGCAGGACTTTCAGCTTGGAGAAACAATCAGGAGCTTGCCACAGTGCCATCACATGTTCCACCTGCCTTGCATTGATAAGTGGCTTCTTAGGCATGGTTCTTGTCCATTGTGCAGAAGGGATCTGTAATTTTATTTTATTTTTGTAAATTATACAATTAGAAAAAGGTCTTTGTATTTTATTTATACTGCCCTTTCTTGCCAGGGCTTGTTCATTTGTTCATCTAATGCTTGCCTACTCTGCCTCTCTGGGTTGTCTACCTACATCATCGTGCAGGATTGAACATTGTACTCGATTAGCCCTATGTATAAAGTTTTTGATTTATAGTTCTGAAACTTCTAATCTTATATCTCAATAGCAATGTAGATTTGATCACGGTGTTGGTATTTCATTTCAGTTCTCATGAGGTTTCCTCCTGGATTGAGACCTCCAGTTTTATGATTATATTAATTCTAGGCAACCGATATGGTTCAGAACTGATTGCCGCTTCTTCTTGACACTGAAAGCCGTAGGCAATTTTGGGTGCTTTACCAGTTTAGGGAAGAATCATAGCAAGGATTATATAGTGTTTCTACTTCACTGAATGTTTGTTTTTACAGTTTACACAAGTTCATCAGAGGAACGCCGACAGTATGGGAGTTGGAACTTATCATCAGATCCTGCTTTTGTTTCAGGATACTCAATCATGCAAAGGCTAGAGGACACATTAACTCTGAAAACAGTTTTCAGATCTAACTTGTCAGTCTCATTTATGAAAAAAAAACTGCTGGGACAACCATTTTAAATTCGTGCATTAAATACTTGCAAGGAAGCCGAGGCAGGAGTTGGTGAAGATGTTGTTTTCTAAGTCTTAGGCTATTGCTTGAGAGAACTAAACTGAAACAGGTTAGACCAACATCTTGAATTATATGCCCCAAAGAATGGGTCTAAAAATTTCATCTTCTTTGACTTCCAGGGCCTGGCCGGTGTCAGTCTTGTCAAAATATTCAGAAAACAAAGGGTACTTGGCAAGAGAAAAAAAAAATGTTAATGTAGGATTGTTTTAAGATACCAACCAAGCCTGTCTTAGAAACGAGATCCTTTGTCAAGTCACTCCCCGCAGAACTATGTGACCAAGCATGTTGGGGAGTAAATTGCAGGGTACAGGAACAGATGCAAAGCCATTTGAACAAAGAGCAGAAAAAGTATTTAACTCGTGGCCAACCAAACAGCTACCCACATTAAAATCTTGATGTACGTCTGCAATTTGAGCTTATTGCCTATTGGCAATGGCGTCCCCTAGTTGCAAACAAAAATAAAAATAAAAATTATAGAACAAATATTGGCGAAATATGTTGGTTTTCACCTACTTCACTTCGTGCATTTAGTTGTGGTTTGGATGTGCCAATCCCACCTCATCATAAAAAAGAAAGTTACATCTGGGTCTACCAAAGATGAAAGGTCTAAATCTGGTAGATAAAATTGTGTACCTAATGGAAACACCTTTTTTATGTTTTTGGTCTGAAAGAGATTATTGTTCAAATGAATTCATTCATCAAACTAGAGGAAGATGAAGAAGAGGAAGGAGAAGACTAAAGATGATTAAGGTTTATTTCTTATAATAAAAGTGGTGTTTCTTGCAAAATATTTTTCCTCCCTACAACCATGTGATCAGTTTCACATGATTCATTTCCTGATGAATTTCTTCAAGATTGTGCCTTCAGTCTTGGGGCAATGTCTAGCAGTCAAAGTTCAGGAGGGTTCCATGAAAAAGGAATGGTTTTAAGAAGAATTCTAATAAATTGGCCAACTGATCATCAAATGTCATAAAAATTTTCAATGAAAAGAAATCTCCCATGTTTTTTTTCCCTTTTATTTGCCCATTTTCAGATATTTTATGCTTAAGCTCAAACTTTTTCTTGTCTAGAGCTTGTAAGTAAAGAAAGATTCCAAGCGTGTGTAATTTTCGAGACATATTCTGATAAACAAGATCATGGGTTCCATCCGGATAAAGTAGACACTAACTGACATTCCACTCAACTGACAAAGATTGTAGAATCTGATTAACATAAATTAACCTGGCATCATCTTTCCAGGTTTGTGTCCATTGATTTTAGATTGAATTCTCCTGGAATTCAAGGATACTTAACTTCAATGGTTTGACCTTGCTATTGATGTCAGAAACTTGCTCAAACAGGACAACCCGTGAAACCATCAACAAAAGATCCAATTTAAGGTACGGGTTTAAAACTGGCCAAAAAAGTAATGGCATGGGTTGAAACTTGTCAGCAGAATTAGCTAGAGAATCTGACACAGAGGACAACCCAAGATATTGCAATCAACAAAACCTCCAAAACTGAAACGTAATTGATAATGAAGTCAATGGATCAAAACAATCACAAAAGGACATCAAATGGCTTAATCAAACTTGCTTTTAATCCTAATCCAAGTAAATCACACAATTAAATTATGATAATTAATTGCTTGGTACATCATGATCTCCCACTTAAATCGATTTTTTGTGGAGTCTTCTTATCTGGAGCCCTTAGAATCTTGTTCGCTTGCATCAGTGACAGTAACTTAATCTCACGAATCATGCACTGAAATGAAGAAGAAAACAAAAATGTGATGCAAGGAACAGCACGGACCTGATGGACTTTTGTGGATTTTTCTTGTCTGTTGTGATTACTCGTCAGTTTTTTAACTCAAGAACATGGAGATTCTACGCCCTTCCCTCTTTGTCAAACAATGCATGGCATGAAAAATTTTATGTGTTCTTTGGCCTATGTGCCGTCTCAAAAGAAGAACAAGCCCACGATGACATGGAGAGGGACTCCTTAACATATAAATATATATATAGACTTCTGTTTGAAAATAAGGTTCGCCGGCAGGGAGATCAATCCTTTCCCATATTCCTCTGCCTGCCTCTTTTCGGTCAAGGAATATATTCAGAGCAGAAGGAAGTTAAATAAAAGTCTTCCTGGAAAATGGACCGATGGTAGATATGGAGGTGATTTAATAAAATCTCGGGGTTTTGGTGTTGGGACATTTTACTTATTTATTTACCATGGTCAAGAGATTTCATTTGCTAGAGGGTTCTCAAACATCTGATCATGCTCATAGTAATAAGCAAATGTGGGGAGTTCTCATCATTGCCATCATAGCAGTCTTTCTGGGATCCTCGTTCTTCTTCTTTTGCAGAAGAAAGCTTAGCCAAAGATGGAGCCGTAAAGGTTAGACTCAGCCCTCTTGTCAGGATCAGCAGTTTGTTTCAAATGTCGGTCAGTTTTTGTAGGTTCTAACAACTTTCAGAATGTCAAAAACAGGAGGTCTGAAAGCTGAGAAATTAGGGTTGAGGCATTTCCAGCTGGAGGAGCTGGAGAAGGCCACCAGGAATTTCAGTGCAGACTGTTTGTTGGGGTCTGGTGCGTTCGGGAATGTCTACAAAGGAATCTTTGAAGCTGAAGGTACGTTAGCAATCAAGAGAGCTCACGCCGAGTCATACCAAAGCGTTGAAGAATTCAGAAACGGTAAACCACCCTTAACTCTACATGCATAGTTTAATTTATCTTGATCCTGGAATCTGGATAATCGGTTAGTGCGTTTTACCGGTTTCTTGAAACAGAAGTGAGGCTTCTTTCGACAGTCAATCATCCGAATCTCGTAGGTTTGGTGGGGTTTTGTGAAGAACCTGGTACGCTAATTGCGCCCTCAAGTCATCCATGGATTAATCAATTTGTTTTAAGTTAGTACTAAGAAACTCTAAGACAGGGAAAATATATTTTAACAGGACCAAAAGGTGCAAAAGTATTGGTTTATGAATACGTACCACATGGTTCTTTGCTTGAGTACATCATGGGTAAGTTCACTCTTGTTTCATGTCACAAAAACAGCTTTTCACAGAGACAAGAAACCAATAAAAAAGCAAAGGAAACAGACAAATATTCAAGGGGTTAAAGAAAAGCTCATGTTTTGCTCACTGTTTGGAGTGTAGGAAGGGGCGGAAGAAACTTGACGTGGAGGCAGAGAGTAAACATAGCTATTGGAGCAGCTAAAGGTAGATTTTCAAGGTACAAAAGAAGTATAAACTATGGTTAATAGAGTTACCTGCTGAAGTTAAACCTTTTTCTTTTGACAGGCATTGCTCATTTACATGATGGGATTAAGCCTGGCATAATCCACCGTGACATAAAGCCAAGCAACATCTTGATTGCAGATGGGTTCGAACCCAAGGTCTCAGATTTTGGACTAGTGAAATTGGGTCCAATAGGAGACCAATCCCATGTGAGTAGCCAGATCAAAGGAACGCCAGGATACCTTGATCCTGCGTATTGCACAAGTTTTCATTTGAGTCCGTTTAGTGATGTTTATAGCTTTGGGGTTATCCTACTGCAACTCGTTTGTGCCCGGCCGGCTGTTGATTCAACTAGAAACCAACCTAATTATCATATCATTGATTGGGTTAGTTTATCCAGTTCTAACTTTGCTTTGTTCTAGTTGTCAGTAAGCTGTCGATTTAGACACCAAAAACATGTACTGAAGTAAGCTGTTGAATATTGCAGGCAAGGCCATGTATAGAGAGGGGCAGCATCGAAGAAATCCTTGATGCTAGTCTTTTATCAGAGCCATGCAATATGGAAATGATGCTGAAGATGGGAGAACTTGGACTCAGATGTGTGGTGAAAATGCCTAAAGACCGTCCTACCATGACTCAGGTCTTTCAAGAACTAGAAGATACACTTTATTCAGTTGACAGCTCCATCAACAAACAGCCCTGGAGAAGCTCCCGGAGAACAATATTTGGCAAGTTTTCTCGACCAACAGAACAAGAGCACCGTAGATCATTAGACCAGGACTACTCTCAAAGCTTTGTGAGCATAGATGGTGTTGGACTTCAAAAGTTTCGTGTTGAGATGGATAGTGTTTCATTCCAAAGCACCAGCCTGAGATGTTTTGAGATAAACAGTGTTAGTGTTGACGTTGACGAGAACAATTTAAGAGGAATAAGTGAGGAGACAGGTAGAGAAAGAGATCGGTTAAACAAGTGACTTTATGTTTTCAAGGTATAGGAAACCTCATTGTGTTGATATCATTGCTACAAGACGTCCGGTATTCGCCATTAAAGGAAAGATCATAGACGATAAATCCTCTTTCTTTCCTATTCTTTCCTTGTTTAGGTGGTTGAAAGAATAAATCATGCTCTCCCTTCGTAATGTCACAAAGGAAAAAAAAATCATGATCTCAGAATCAGTCAGAATTTGGAGAAACTCTTAAACGCTTTTACCATCAGGGAAAGACTATTAATATTTACAATTAGCTAATTAAACAACAATATAGCTTGCTATAAACATAATTCCTGAGCGAGCTGCTTAAGGACTATCTTATTATGGAAACTCTATTTTCTGAGAACTGCAAGAATAGATGGCCTAAGATAATGAGTTCTTTTCTAGTTTTCCGTTCTTCCTATTCTCAGCCACTTCAACTCCAGAGATACGAGCTCATTTCTTTGACATAGCTTGCTTCACTTTCCTTCTCATCTTCTGGTACCTTGGAAGTTTCGCAATATGTCACAAGGTCAGCATACATTTTTACAGAAGCCTTTGAAAACTCAGCCAAGGACCCAAAAACTGAATAAAATCCAGTTTGAAACCCTTTCAATGTTAGCTGCTGCGTCCCTTCCATGCTAGCATGGTGTTTTACCTTCTCGGCATCTATTCTTTTCCTGAACATATCCAACACATTTTTTCTTTCTGCCAAATACTCAATCCGATTCCGCACATCTATTTCTAATTCCTGCTCAGAGAGTTTTGAGCCAAGAATCCTGCTCTCTGTTCTCTGGAATGCCAACACCTTCCTCTCAAGTTCTTTGGCAAGTCCATCGACCTTCCTCTTCTGTTTTTGCTCCTCACCTTGTTGAACCCAAAGTGCCCGGATATCCTTTCCAAAGCTTTTCAATGCACAAATTACAGCCTCATTTGGCAACTTCTCCAAGCTAGCTAACCATTCATGACAGACTGCCAGCAATGGTGGTCCTTTAACTCCTACAGCTGGGGCCGAGGACCTATTCTTTGAGCAGAATTCAACTTCAGGGGCAATGAACTTGGAAAGCCATCCACTGAGAGCTTCAATGTATGCCTTTTGTGCAGAAAAATATGCTAAAAAGCAGGAACGCCAATTATGAAGTTCTGCCTCAAGCTGAAGAGTGGCAAGACGGTGAGAGTCATTGCAAAACTTTCCATACGCAGGAGAGTTGAAAGACGCAACTTCAAACATGATTCGGTTTTGGGTTTCATGTGATTCCAACATTATCTTCCAGTTCCCCATTAGGCTGCAGAAGGAGAAGAAATGAAGATTATCACACTGATAAATCTGATAAATGTGAACAATTTTTTGTCATTTACTTTCATACCCATGTAGCAGCTCAATAAGTTGTGGCTGCAACTCTTCATCTCTCAGTTTTTCAATTCTTTCAGAGATTGTTTCTGCACTTCGTATTGCAACCAATATTCTGCTATGCAAGTCTTTTACTTCAGCTCTGGTTTTGTCCCCAGCATAGAGGCCATCTCGTTTAGCATTACGTTTTCTCATTTGAGAACATTTTTGCTCATAAGTTTTCCTGGTCTGGTCTGCAGCCTGAGCATGTGAAGTATGAGATGTTAGGGAGCTATAGCAAATGTCTACAAAAACTTGAACTTCGAATGTACTCAAGCACTCAAAAACTGATATTAATTAATGCAAATTCAGCATCTCATAACATATATATAATTAAACACGGAAGCAAACTTGCTAGACTCATTATGTCAGAGGCACTTACTGGTTGTCTGACTGACTATCTGCATGAACACGGAGAACATTCTTGTGTAAATCGAGCAGTTTAAATAATTTTTTATATGAAATAGTTTCTACCAGCCGACCAGTTCAACTACCAACATGCAGATTGCTAGATGCTAAAAGCCAGAAGAATCAGAATTATCACAAACAGGAGCGATACGCGCAAGTTTTTGAATGGCGTAAACTGTCCATTGTAAATAATGCAAGAGGATAGAAATGGTTCATGTGAAAAAGTAAGATGAAAGGAAACATTCAAAAATGTGTAGCTATAAGGGAGATGGTTTCCATTTTTGGCTAGCAATTGAATTATATTTATAGTACCTTCACCTCCTCATAAAGTTTCTTTTCCCAAGCATACAACCTTCCTAGGGTCAGTGAATGGCTTCCAGATTCCATTCCTCCATAATCATCAAACAAATCAGTCTTCAATTCTGCCCACGTTGAAGAATTTCTGGAACTAGATGAAAGGAGGCTTTTACACGATGAAGATCGGGACAATGGAGACCGGCTCCAAGTTATTGACCGGATTAGTTTATTTGAGCTCTCTGCACCCAGAAAGCATGTTAAACAATTACACAAACTAATGTAAAACAAAACATTTATATGCACAGACCGTGGAGCAGTTAACATTATTCAAAAGAAAAGGAAGAGTGCTCTTTGATTTCATATTCCTAGTACAGGGGTCTTCTAGGTAATAGCATGGACATATCAATCAACCTCTCCTGTTATAGGAAAAAAATTACCAATTCTTATTGGTAGACTGTCTGGAACAGCAACAAATTATAGCCTCAAACAACAGCATTCAATTTGCAAGAAGAGGATACAAAAACACCTAAATATTTCTAAGAAAATCACAGGGAAACTAGCAGCATATTCAAGAAACAGAAAATGACATAGAGTGAAAAGAAAGTTTAAGGGAAAGAAACGAGATAAACCCACCTTTGAGTTCCTCCAAACCAGATTGCAGCTGAACTCTATTGGCCTCTAACATTCTACAGACATCCAAACCACAATCATAAGCTCTAAGGAAATGGTCTGCAATATCCTTCAACGCTTCCAACAAGTCCCTCTCATTTGTGGGTGTATTGATCATTCTGAAACTATTTTTGTCCCCCTGGCTCACTTTTGCATCATGATCATCCCCATTTCTCACATCTGTATTCTGAATCTCCTCATCACCACCATCAGCAATTTTCACGCTCTCATCCTTTCTCTCACTCATAACTCTGTCGCCATCCTCTTCCAGGTCAGGAATTCCCTCTTTCTCTCTCACCACTCTCAGTTCCTCATCAGAACTGTCAGTAAAGCTACTCACCACCTCTGTTCTCATTCCATCAAAAGGGTTGAAGAAATCCCACGCAAACGCCTTTTCTGGTGATGACACTGCCGGTGGAGCCTCTTCACCATAAAAGTGCTCACAAACTACCTCATCTTCTTCCTCTTCACTCCCTCGCTCGTCTTCTGAGGATTCAAGACAACCCTCTTCATCTTCTTGAGTTCTTGGAACTTCTTCTTTTCCTTGATCTTGACTTCCCTTCTTCACAAAAACTGTAGATTGAGAGGATTGACAACGAATTGTTTCATGGCTGGGCTCAGTTGGCCTTTGTTTAAGGAACATTGGATTGGTGACAGGGGTCTCACTAGCCTCATTAGTAGAAGCAGTGGGGAAAGTGATGAGGAAAGGAGAAGAAGGGGAGGAATGCCTTGCAACAAATAACCTTATGGCAGCTGCAACTGCATAAAGAGACTGGTTATACTTACATTGAGCATCTGCAAGGGCATATCTACGCTCCACAGCCAATTTCAGGAGGCGTTTTCTTTCTTTACACAGTGACACAACACTGTCTTCCTCCTCTTTCTTTGAAGTAGCACACCCCATTTCTTTCTCTGCTTCAGTCTGCTGAATCCAAAGGTGGGTTTTTGCCAATTTTGAAGTTGGCTTCTTAATTAGACCATATAATGCACTCTTTTTAGCAGGAAAAACAAAAGTGGTTTTGGCTCTTAAGTAAAAGACTAAGGTTTTGGTTGTGGCAGAAAGGTTGTGTTGGAAAAGTTGTAGAGAATCACATCAGGTAACTGAAAAAAAAAAACTAACTAAAAATCAAACTTGAGCTCTGCAGTATGCTCACTGTCCTGTCCGATAATGGAGGTGTCTTGTCCCAAAAAAATAAAAGCGTGACGACTAGATGACTCTGTCAGAGGATGAGACAAAGTGACAAACTGTTTCTGATATATTCTTTAAAACCATTGCCTGTTCAACTCATCATGCACTCGCATTTGCATCAATAATAAATGAAGATAGCCTTCTCTGGTGTATATTTCCTGCAAATGGCTCTATTACAAGGCAGCAAATTTCCTTACTTTTCCTTCCATTGCTATCATGAGAAAGATTTTATGGACATGGCAGAGATCCTTTTTAAGACAAATGCTGGCAACCTCAACAAGGAGTCAAAGCCTAACCTCAAAACACTTTGGTAGGAGAGAAAGAATAGCAATAGTAAGTACTGTTTCTTGCCTTGCTAGCTTTGCTTGCTGTGTGCAAGCACTTGGTAAAAGAAATGAAGTCCACGCTCTCCAGAGAATCGTGACGATCACTGTCGAATTCATGGGGAACAAGTGTCTTGAACAGGGAAGTGAGTGACACCAGTAGGGTGGCTAATGGGGCCAAAGTGGGCTAAGGGCTTTAAATGATAATACAATAATAGCGTTATTAACTGAACTGAACAAGATTTTTGGCGGGGACTTCACTTTAGTTTTCCTAGGAACTCCAAGTAATGATTGCTGTTTTTACCGCTTTGTTACGTAAATTTCACCAATCTCGCTCTTGTGACCGTCGGATCAGATTCTTTACGAGACTACAGCCGTTGATTTAATGACGGTGGTATTCAAACTAACTTGTTGTCGAGTTTAGGACACATATATGAATATATTTATTTATTATACTTATTATGGGGTATAATGATATAGACAAACCATTAAACTTAATTAAATAAATACGTAATCATTTTTTACTATTTATAATATAATTAATTAAACAAATTCAATATGTTATATGCTAGTTAAACGTATTTAATTTAGTTAAAGTATGAAATTATTGTGTTTAAAATACGAAATAGATCATTTCTAGTTCGAATTTCATTAATTTAATATTACTCTGTTTTTATAGGAGAGTGACAGTGGAAATCCATAAGCTGACATGAGATATCATGGTACAAAATTATATAAAAAGTGTTCCAAAAAGTATATTCTTTTACAGTCTTCTTATCGTTTACAGAGTACAGTAAGAAGTGGACAAGGGTTTGGTCTGCCTCAATTATATAATCACTGTTAAACTGCAAAAACCCTTTCTACTCACGAGAAGGAACTATCCCAGAAATTCTTTGCATACTGCTTTTCCAAAAGAAAGATCTAATCTTTCCATTATTACTCGTCTAACTCGACCGTGGATTGAATTGGTTTCTCGATTGAAAATGGAAAATAGTAGTACATAAATGATTAAATATCCACATCCCTATACATTCACATGTATGTAACTTTTCTGCTTGACTTAAGGAGGATATGTCGAAATTAAACAAAAAAATCTGTCGGCAAAGGGTCCAGTCCTTGGTTAAATTTTGATTTAGAAAAATGGGTTCTCTTTCTGCTTTACCTTTTGCAAAAGATTAATTAGTTTTTGGGTTTGGGTGGGATTAGCATTAGTAACAGAGGGAATCGACTAAAATGCTCTGTTTTCTGTCTTTAGGTGGGAAGAGTGAGGCGCACAGTGGGCGGTAAAGGGCAGTGAAGTTTGGGTCTGTACACATAGAGAATTGTGCCAGTGATAAGTGATAAGAGAAAGGACAACATGGCGGAGGAAAGTGGGGTCCCGCGTGGGCCGGTCTGAATATGTAGTAGCAGGAGAGATAAAAGGTAGCCAAGCAGCCAAGCCTCTCTCCGTCTCTGTCTCTGTCTCTGTCTCTGTCTCTCTGTCTCTCTCTCTCTCTCTCGTGTGTTCAAATTCCCCTCGGCAATCTCTCCCAGACTTAACTATTGCTTGCTGTCAGCTTACTTGGTGAAAAGCTAGTGGCATCAGAAACAGATGGTCCACATAATTAAAAACCTACCTAAACTACACAGCTAAAGTAAGTCTTAAAGTACTGATTTTTAATGATTCTGGTGCCTTTTTCTCCGGTTTTTCCAGAATACGGAATTAAGTGTAATACAAACACACAAGGCACCACGGGAAAAGGTTTTTTTCCAATTAGATGTTTCTTTGATTTAATGGATTTTGCTGGGTTTTAATGAGAAAGTGAGGGTTGATTAGGAAAATCGTTTCTGCCACCCTCATTCCCTGAACTTTACTTGCTTCCATCTCTGGGTTATGCTCTGAACTTGTGATCTAACAGAACAGCAGTCTCTATCTCCTTCACGTTTGGTCAATGTCCTTGTGTTTTTGGCTGTTGAATTATGTCATGGTCATTGATTAAGTTTGTCACAAGCAAATTTGAATGGACCAGGACCATTTTCCTTGGTTCACCCACCTCAATCATTCTCCCCTCTTATCCAAGCCCTGAAGCTAAGGCTTGAACTCAACTGAGGCTCTGGCTTGGCAGTCAAATATGGGACTGGATCAAGTGCTGATCCAATGCTTAAATGATCTGGCCACAACGGATAAAAGGAGGCAGCAGATTTGGCATTTCTCTTGTCCCACTTGGATTTTGGATCAAGGACTCGTCGCTTTTGCTCTGCCTTCCCCATTCTAATCTGAATCTGGAGTTTAACGGCCGAGATCGATTCCATCTCCCAGAGAGTCCATGATTTACCTAGCCAGAACCTCCTCCACCGCCTATCAGGGGCCAGCTAATAATCCAATCCCTTTAAATGTAGAACCCATGACCCATGTGACATCTCATAGTCTGGACAGCAAGGAGACATTTGCCCTTTATATAAACAATTGATCAAACCACAATAATGCTAGAGTTGCCTCCTTTGACAACTCCAGATCATAGCAAGTTAATTTCCAGAACAAGGGGTGGTACAATAAAAAACGAACCCAGAAAAGGAGACGAATCATTCCACTAGTGTCCATTACAGTCGGCGCCTATGAGGCTAGAACAAAAACTGAAATTACTGCAACATGCAAACAACAGTTATAGGAATTTTGATATTCAGGGATGTCAGCATAATTTACAGAATGTGAGCACATATAGTGAAATGAATGCATAGAGAAGATCGTCCTAAAGAAAGAATCTTCATTTTGTTTGCCTTTGCAGCTCTATTTTTCTGATTCTTTCCTTTCAAGCTCGAAGAGCTTATAAACTAAATAGAATATGTCTCAAGTTAAAATGATACATTGTACATTAAAAAATTAAAAATTAATTAAAGGACTGCACCTTCTCCTCTGTTGCATTATGAGAACTGATCGTACCATGGGAAGTTCAGAGAAGAATCCTGCACTAGATACAACAGTATGCATGGGCCAACCTCATCAACTAATATTGAGTTCCATTGGTGTGGCACAGGGAGCCAGAGTTTTTGCAGGCAGGTTAACTCCGCCTCCTCTCAGGGATAAAGAAGGGCCTTTCACTGAGCTAGCTTTGCTCACAAGATTTGGATCAAGATATACAACTACAACTGTGATGTCATCATGGAAGTGCCGGCGTACGCCTCGGTCAATCTTCTTCAAATCTGAGTATCTCATTTCTCTCTTTTTAGCAGCTTCCCGCAATGCAGCTTTCACAAGCCTCCTAGCACTTCCCTGTTAGAAGAATAAGCACAAAACAATCAAATAACAATCATATTTCTCCACGCGCCTTGTCAACAGGGTTCCACAATAATAGTACGAGTATTGCTATGTGGGCTTAGTTGCTCAAGGTTCAATTCAATGGTCTCTAAGACTGGATTGCAAGTCAGCATCTACTTTTTCATTTTACATTTCATGTGTATGTCACCATTCAGTGAACGAACAATTTGTGCTAAAACTTCTGAAGGTAAAGAACCAGCCAATGTAATTAAGAATAATCAGCAGCACTAGTAGTCTAGCAGAACAAAATGGAAGATATTGAAATGAGTATCGATGTAACATTGACATAGAGAATATTATGAAAAAAATATAATAAATGATTTCAAAGTGGAAACCGTATTAATAGTTCCAACTCCATTAGGGCAAGATGCTTCAAGTTAACATGAAGCCACGACTCATTCAAAGCACGCATACATGCCCTTTTTGCCAATAGGCACCATAAACCACAATTATGCTATTAATGAGTAGATTATAAACTTAATAGTTACAACCACACTTAAATTCTCCGATAAGAGAAGTATATCTTACATTTCGAGGATGATTTTGAACTATATCAACTGCATCCTGATTGCTGAGATGTTCCCAGAGCCCATCAGAAGCAAATATGAGAAACTGATCGTGAGATTGGAGTTCATGCACAGATATTGATGGTTCAGAGCTCAAAATTGGCTTTCTAAAAGGTTCACGAAGACGAAACTTTTGATATAGAGGTTCCCTGTTGAATTCAGCCTTTTTAAGATAAACATCACCAATAGATCTAGAAACCTGCAATAAAAAGGTTCTGTGAAATGTCCTATAAAAATTACAACCCAAAACATCCAAAAAATAAAAAATAATTTATACCAATTTATGGAAAATAAACTGGAAAGAAACCAGTTACACAAGCACAATATACAAGTTCTTTTTAATTTAGCTTCCATATGATAACATTGCAATCAGATGAAGTAAATGCACTAAAAGCACAGAATTTTGCAACCAGGCATATTACTTTCAGTGCTTTTTTTATTTATATTCTGATATATTTCTTATCATTGACTTTTACCATCATAGTAAGTAACAGGTTCAGAGGCACAGGATCAGTAAAAACTGCAAATCTAGTATTAAAAAACTATACTATAAACTCACTCCAAATTGAGGTGCCCCTTTAGTTTAGCTTATGTCATATCTTAACAAGCTGTAGACACATAGCAAGAAACCAACAAAGTAAATCCCATATCCTACCCTCTACAAACACCAGAGGCCAAACCACACCCGGAACCATATGGCTGAAGCATAGTGAAAGACTCCGCTTTTCACATAAGGATTAAAAACGACACAAGATTTGTAACACGCACATTTTCGTTGACCAAGCATGGTAATTTGTAACATGGTTAAATTTATACTTTCTAATGCTTACAATCCAATTATGGCATTCAATAATATGAAGAAAATATAAATTGCATAGACCAAACGTGCGTATTGTGTGTCTATCAGCAATACCAACATAAAGAACTTACCTGTATCAGGCCCTTTACACGCCATACATTATGTTTTAAAACTACAATATGAGAGTCATCTGGATGCAAAGAATGCATCTCTTGCCTGACAGACTCTATTCCTACATTATGCTCCGCTGACAGCTGGATGGCAAGAACATCCCCAGTTGCCTTGACAACCCTTCCCAGCACAGCACGAGAATCG